ATTTTTTTTTTTTTTTTCTTCTTTTTCCTCCAGCCATCATCATTGCTATTTGGAGAGAATTTGGTTCAATTTCCATTTTAAACATGAAATGTTTGAATTAGCTCATAATGTCTGCCAGCTTGCAGAGGAAAGAGCTGGTCTTGAGGAGAAAAAAAAAAAAGTTTTATTTTTTGCAAAATAAAAAATGAAAAGCTGCAGAATAATCTTAAATCATTTTATACTGCACATAAAACTTGAAAATAATGAGAGCTCTTCAATTTAGAAATGATTGGGGTTCTAGGCATATGAATCAGAGAGAGCTGTAAAATTATTAGAACACTACAGCATCTTTCGTAAGCATTTCAATTCAGAGGTGATCAAAGATTCTGGACTTGCAGAGCAATTTACTTGGCATTTGCAGGAAAGCCTCACTCTTTCAAACTGAAGCACTCTTAACAATATGAAGAACTCCAATAATTTTAAATTGATGTATACCATACATGCCTAGAAATCCAATTTAGTCTTTAAATAAAAACATTATAACTTCAGAAGTATGAAGGGCCCACCCACAACATAACAGCAATCTAGCCTTTCCAATTCACATATCAATTCAGCCTAGCTGTTATTTCTCCCATGCTAGGTTTTTCTGGCATGAGGAATTGCTGAAAACATTAGAGATGAGTATTTGTTTCTTTTAACCCTATCCTTCAGCTTCCTTTCTGATTATCTATGTATTTTTTCCTAAACCCAGTGCACTTCTGGACAGCCTCAGATTGTAAGATGCTTTGCAAGGTGTAAATGGTATTTCTAAATACTTTTAAATACTGACACTTAAAACCAGAAGAAAATGTTTAAACCACATCAAAGATGCAATGTATTCTCAACCAAAACTTTATTCAGCTGATTTTAATTTTGTAAATAAGTATATCTATTTTTAATTTATCTGAGATTAGGTTTGCAATTAAGTGTATCTGTTCTTAAGGGAAACACAAAGTACACTGATTTCTAAAACAATATTGATAGAGCAGGAAAATAAAATTAAGTCTAAATTTTTAAAATTACATCTCAATCATGCATGAAAAAAAAATAATTAAAAGTCCCCTGAGGCAGATAGGCCTTGTGTTGACCCAGCAGGTCTTCTGCTACTTCCATGCAAATCATCCTTCTGTGTAAAACAGACTCCTGTCACCCGCCAACTTATGAAGTCTCTCAGTTTCACATGACAGGCAACCAATCTTCCAGTCATACTGGCCACGCCATAAACTCTTCCTGTAGCCCACAAGGCTACAGAAACTCAAGTTTTCTTTTCATTATTGACACAGATGTAGGACTGTGTGAGACGTATATGAGGCAGACAATTATATTTCCGGTTAGATGTTGTCTTGGCATTCAGTTCTGAAAGTATCACATTCAGTCCTGACTAGGTGCTATCAAGACATCAACACAAATTTGGATATCCCTTGATAATGTTGGGGAAAACCAGTGCAGTGGAAACAAATAGGTAAAGGGGATTGATCAGACTAGATGATCATAAATGTTTCCCTCAGGCTTTAAAACTACACAGACGTTATTTTGTTTCATACAGGAGATGCAGGTGATGCACTGGTGGGTGGAAAAGCCCTGGACAGCATAATCCACTTCTGTCACAAATGGATAAGATTCGCTGACATTATTTTAGATTTTACAAACTGTAAGAAGCTCCTCCAACATGTATCATGCTGGAATACTTTTAAGTTAGAAGGAACTTCTGGAAGTCATCTGGTGCAACCCACTAGCATGGTTCAGGTTGCTCAGGATTTTGTACAGTCAAGATCTGAATATCTCCAGGGGTGTAGTTTTATAAATCACTAATGCCTCTTTACGTTCTTTATCTTTTAAATTACAGTATTCTAATATTAGGAAATTTTAGTTTTTCTACCTGAGAAGTTAATATCCAGTCCTGTTTCTAAGGATAGAACATATCTATGAAATATTAATGTGGTGTAAACCAATGAAGGTGCCCTTGAATGTTTTTCAGTACTATTGGAGTTTATGTGATCTATGTTAAGAAGTCTATTCTGTTCTCCATGGGCTATAGCTTAGCCTCAAGACTTAGTGGATGTGTGACTTAGCGCAAATTTAGTGGAGACTATGATGTTTATAAACCCTTACATAATGTCATACAAAAAGTAGTATTAGTAGATTTCTACCTTGAACTATGCCAGGCTCACTGTCAGACAACAGAAGTGCTTATAAGTATCCATCATAATGTTCCTGGGCTTACAAAATTAATTTAGCTCCTTGTGGTGGAGACTGACACCAGCTAGCAGAGGATGCATTTTATAGTATGCATTCTCTTATCTTGAAAATAGAAAAGGACACTAAACCACTCCAAAAACATTTAGATAATGAAACCTGAAGTACCTCTAACTGGACAAATTTGTGAGAAAGCTTGAGGACCAAGCCACAAATAATAGACACAGAATTGCACATTTCACATGCATCTTAATTATTTTCTACCAGATATGACCTTCCTTTCCCATATTGGCTTTGTGTGAAGTTTGAAAGCAAACTTATTTCAGAAGCATTAGAAGAGGAATAGCTGTCATGGCTTCAAAAGGGAAACTATCTACATGTTCAGTATTAAATGTAGATGCAGTCAGAAAAAGAAGAGACATTACCAATAAGCAAGTATTTTCTAATGCCTGAATTCTTTATAATTTTAACTGCAGACTTAAATTACATTTAAATGTATATAAGGTATATAATTTATTTCAGGAAAAAAAATTTTAGCTTAGTATAGCATTTCACTTTGACTTATTCAAATAATCTATATGGGAGAGAAATGTGTTCTTATTGCTTCCTGAAGCTGTTTTTTGGCATTGTTCTGTAAGAGAAGGTTGTCCAAACAAAAGAGAAAAATAGTTCATGCCATTACAACTATTTTGTGTAAGAACCATATGCCTCCTATTGTTTTTGAGCCAAAACCTCAAATGTTCCTGACATGACAAAAGTCTAGAAGTCTTAATCTACAGCTAACCTTTCAGCTTCCTCAGTGTTGAAGATTATTGTTCTGCTTTGAGTAGTTTAATCAGGTACTTAAAATATCCCTTTATGCGCACAGCAGCTATCTGAAATCAGCTGCCTTCAGCCTTTCTAGAAGCCTCAGGCCAGGAAGAGAAAAAGGTAAATAATGTCATAAAAAGTGCCTAAGCTCAATAAGCTCTCCTAATAACTTAATAGATTTCCCTTTATGATTCACCTCAACCTCTTAATATGTTTTAAAAACTAACCTCCTAATGTCCTAAAGTTTTAAAACATGGTAAGACATTTTTTAAAATACCATTTTTCAATACTAATTTGAGAAGACTTTGAACTAAAACAAATAATCTTTTTTAAAACCATGTACTGCTTCGGTTTTAAAATGTTTCTGTATACTGAGAACAGAAGGAACAACTCTGAATAAGGAAAACACCCATCCAAGTCAAAACCAGCAGCTAGCAGTTGCTTTTGCTGTAGTTTTCTCCAAAAAGCCTATTTTATGTTGATTTTGGTTTGTTTTCACTGCCTGTTAAACACAATGGAAATAGCATGTTTTGCACACTCCCATAATTCAAGAATTCTGAAAGGATTTCACTGAAGCTTCCCAAATAAATTCTTTGGTTGCAAAGAATATCCATGAATAGTTACAATTTCAGCCCAAAGACTGAGGGCTTCACACAGTTATGACTGTGTGCGTTTATGACATAAACCCTTCTGGTAATCCAACCACGGAGGACTTCAACAAGTCAGCAGTAATGAGTGTGTTATACCGGTCCTTAAGAGTACATGTAGGATATTTGATTTGCTGTAAAAGAAATATAGCCCTACTTGTAGGACAATTCCTCCAAAATAAAATCACAGTCTCCTACCTTTTTCACTGAGTATTTCTTTCCACTTAGTTCTGTTAAAAAAATATTAAATGGAAACCAGCAACTCTTTTTCACTCTTCTAGATAGATAATGTTACAAAAAAAAAACCAACACAAATGCCCACCTATGAATGCTTAGGACCAAGGAGGGCACTGAATGCTAATACCTTAAAACTAGAAGTAAATTGATTACATTTCTAGGAGATAAACTTTTCCATACCTCAATATACATACTTATATACGTATTTGAATTGTGATACTTTGTAAATACCATGATTACCATATTAAAGTAGATAACCTTGAGACCATAATGACAATGAACTTTTGAAATCTGGGCCTAGTTTAGCCCCGAATACCCTCACTGTAGTCAACAAGAATTTACAGAACCTGGGCAAAGATATAAATATATATATTTATTTAGCATTTAGATTCTTGAAGCGATGCATGAAGCAGTGTACACTAGCAGATGCTATTTTTTAATTTAAGAATTCCTCCTCTATCATGAAGATAAATCCTATACTGAAGGTGCTGTTTTGCCATTTCCTTTCTTGTTAATTATGAGCAAAACAAACACAACCTCAGAAAAACTTTGTTATTACTGGGAGAAAGGAAGGGGGAAAAATAAAGAGAGTGAGACAAAGCATGTGGGAAGTGGGGATTTTTGCCAACTTGTATGATTAATATAAATGGACATTAAAGTTTTTGTAAAGGAAATTTCAAAAGGAAATGAGATGTTTAATATTGGCTCTATTAGCCAGCATACCAGTCACTGGAACAGAGTATTTACTCCTTGAAGGTGTGGCAGGGGATGGAAAATTATCTATTAATACTTCTCACTGAACATGGGAAATGAAAGATTAAAATTAAATAGCCAGAGGAGATTCAAATGGGGCACTTTTACTGCCACTACAAGATGCATCTTCACGCTGTAATTCTTGAGACACTTTTCCTGAGCTTGAGATTCACCGCACAGAGACTATGAGGTGAGGTTCTATTGCCCACGTTCTTCTTTTCCAGTCGGTCTGCCTCCCTCTGCACTTTTGCTCCTCCTGGATCCTTGGTCATCTATCCACATACAATAGAGTCTGCACCTTCTGGCACAGGCAGAAAATTAGTAGGGTGCATTATTTACCAGTGACTGCCTTCAAAATACTCCTGGGTAGGGTGGAAGTTGTCCTTCAGTGTTTCTGAGATCACATCTCTTTTCACAGCTGTCTGTCTGGTAGAATCTAAGTTAAAGAACAGGTTATTTTATATTAGAATATATTACATTTATTTCAATTCTATTTGCATTTTCAGTGGGGTTTCTCTCCCCCGATTTTAGCTATCTGAAGGCTTGACAATGAACTCAGTGAGAGCTCAAGACACCTGCAACGACATATTTACACACAGGCGCCTACAGACACACTGAATAGCCCCTGAACCATGGGGCTTGGTTCAGCTGACCACGCGTGGGTACCTAATGCCATTTGGCACATCCTGGGTATCCAAGATGTACCTGACAGGTCCACAAAGATGACACAAGACTTGCAGGAGACCGGCTTCCAGAGTGGGCATTTCACAGCGCCGCAGATACCGCTAGACCCTGTGAGGAGGCAGCTGAATCAGGCCTCCCATCGAAACACTCGGAAATGTTCAGAAGAGAATTCGTTACCAAGCACGGTGTCTGCATTAAGGTGAGCTGAATGGCTCTCTAGGCCCTAGCGACTATACATCCCCTGACTTAATGACAGCCTAACACCTAGCACCTATGTCAACGCCATCATTAGAAACCTGGCTGTAGCAGGATTTAGGAACATTAATTGTAGGTGTTTGTGATTGGGAGCTGAATCTTGACATGGTTGTCTAGGTTCCTTTTTCTGCTACGGAAAATAATAAACCTACCCAAAGGGCAATTCAATCTATCTGAAAAATTAAGTCTAAGATAGGTGAGAGGATTTGCCACTTGGAAGCATTCCCCCTCCTACCCAATGACTTTAGACCAGGCTGAGATAACTGCCATAAACCAACAGTGCAAACCGCCTGACATTACGCACGCTGACTCCAAGTGTTGCAAATTAAATTTTGAGGTAGAATCTTACAATGATCATTTACATATTTTTTAAACATTTCAATTACTTTTAATAAACCTGGATAGCAGTGACACACTTAAGAAATCGATATACAGCTCTCCCTCACTGTACAGCAGTTATTCTGACACCTTTAAAGTTTGATGTCATCAAAACAGGACTGCATTTAACCTGAATCCTTCTTTCACTGTTTTTCTTTAACCACATGGATAGTTTATATACATTTTTCATTAACCTTTTTAATAAAATAATAAAATGTTTCTTGCCTGCTCACAGTAAAGCTTGATTTTTCTATCTGTTTAAAATATCCCTCATTGGTAACACCTACAAATCCAGCTAATCTGGCTATTTCGGAAATATAAAAGTATACTTAAATTGGATTTTAAAATTATAAACAACAAAGGACCCATATCATTCTAAGATTAGAAACTTGACTAATAATTCAAAAGAACTGACTAAAATAGTTACTCCGATATGAACTTCCATGCCAAATTTCAGCACAACCGAATTTGATTCAATTTATAAATACGTGCAAATTAAAGCCTTCGCCCACTTTAGAACAAAACGGCTAACATCCATAATTATTTTATGGATGAGAACATAATTCTAAACAAATACAGCCCTTATTCAGAACCATATTTCTTGAAAAAATTGTTGATCTTTTGTTTTACTCTCCTGCTTTACTCTTTTTCAAGCTTAATGTTTTTTCTTCACCTTCTCCATTCTCATTGTTTTGTCCACTGCTCTTCATTTTTCAGTGTTTTTAAAGGCAGGAAGAAAAGAGTAGTGCTTCAGGCAGAGAAAAAAAAGGAAGGAGATTTTCTTAAAAGACTGAAAAAAAACCCTAAAATAAGGCTGCAGATTTTCACAACTAAGTAATCAGATGAGTTCTCTCTCGGTAAATAAATATACCTTAAGACATGAGCAATGAAAATTGCTTTATATTGTAGACAGAAAATGTATTCCTCTCTCTACTAGATCCACCCATCAAATAACAACAGAAATTTGAAAAAGAAAGGGGTTGTGGTTTGGTCGGACCATCAGGAGAGAAGGGGTTCAGGACAGGAGATGAACTGAGGATGGTTTTTCAGACATCCCCTTCCACTCACTGCCGAGGCTGTCGGACGCTTCCTCCACTCCCACCTACCAGAGCTTCGAGGGAAAAATGATGCCAGTGGGAGTATCCCCCACTGTGTAAAGGCATCAGCACAAACCAAGGCCTAGCGTGCCCAGTCTCTTCGCTTCTTTAAGCACTAAATTCCTCTCGAGTGGAGAATAACTCTCCATTCATGACAGACTAGGATAAATTACTCTGGATTTAAAAAATCAAATTTTCTTGAATCCAGTCTATGTTTGCACAACTTAGTTCAAGTTGAAGGATCTTAACCTAGAAAAAAGTGCATATTTCTCCTTGCTAGTAGATGATTCATTCAACAAAGTTACTAAGCTGGACGATTAGCTGGATGCTAAACTGACTGATGGTCGGTGTAAGGCCACTCCTTATGTTTCAAGCACGTGTTCTTAAGGTACTCAGAGATTTTGAGGAAGGCATTTCACATCTCT